CTGTTACACTTTTGTATTACCCTGTATTGTAGAGATCCACTCTTTTTTGTGAGTACAGTAGACAATTTTCAGCAGCAACTACAAAAAAAGTTAAACTCATATATATTGCTAGTTTTGCCAGTATTTTTAATTTGATAACTTCACCGATTATTAAAAATAAATATTTATAAAATTATTTATGTCATTTGTTAAGGCATGTATAAAAATTATTAAATCAAATAAAACGATAATTTAGAAAAAGTAACAAAGAATTTATATAGTTTGAAGTAATTACATATTAAAAAAATAAATTTTCATGAATATAATTCAAATAACATTGATGTTTTAAAATTTATGTTTGAAAGAAAAATAGTCAACTACAAATTATTCATTTGAAATTCTATTTTTTTTTTATCAAAAAGTAAATTCACTTAAAATCAAATCTTTAAATTCTAATCCAATCACATCCTTAATAGTAATTTTTTGTAATTATTATTAGAAAAATATAATATAAATGACATTTACCTAAATAAGTATAAGCATTTAAGGTAAAATAATTTTTTATATGATATTAGAGTCTCTTTAGCCACTTAACCAAAAATTTGATATTCATCACGCTCGTTCTATTAAAAAAATATTATAATTTTTTTTAACATAAGTGGAACCTAATACATTATAGGAAAAGTATATGTCGTTTTAAATGATGTAAAGTTGTGTCATTTTAAATGAGAGAAAGAGATAAATTATAGAGAAGAGAGAGTAGACAAAAAAAGGTATGAATCTCATATCTCTGTGAGAGTAAAATAATACAAATTATATCATTTAAAAGGACAAATATTTTTTCCATACATTATTCATTCTTTGAAACCATTAATATAACATTTATCTTACAATTTTGAAGAGAGCCAAATAGAAAGTGAAGGTTTTGTCGGATATCCCTTTTCTAGATCGATGCAACTTTACATTTAGATTACATGATTTTAGCATAATGAATATAGTTATAAGGATTTTATGTCTCTCTTGTTATAAGAGATACTTTTTATGTTCAACTGACACAAAAACAATAAGACCCACCATAGTTAAAAAAACAAAAAAAAGGAGTTGCACAACTTTTGATTGTGCGCGCAGTTTTTTTTTGTTGACTTGAGCAATAGAAGACTTTATTTTTCTTGATTATAATGGAAAATGTTATATTTATAAATTTTTTGTTTATAAATTCTTACCAATTACATTATGTCTTATCGGTAAGATATTCTTGAATGAAATCTTATCGATAAGACATCATATAATTTATAAGTTTATAATTTTTTTTTATCAATATAACTCTACTCAATTATAATAGCGTATTAATTACCAAATTTTTTAGCATCCATTGAGATGGAATACATTGGTTGCGTCGAACTGTTTATCTATTTTCTTAAGAAAATACCGATCGCCAACTGGGATTGATATAGTTGGTGGAATTTTCCGCCCATACTAATTACTACTAACAGCGGCTTGGTTTCACCTTGCATTTTTTAAAAGTGATTAGCATCAACTTTGTTTCGTTTAACAAACACATGTTCTCTTTAATATAAATTTTCATAGTTAAAGATAAGTATGTGTGACATCATCAAAATATATTTAAAATGTTTGGAATATTATATCATTCTTTTAAAAAAGTTGAATTACTCATACTTTTTCTTCTGGTCGCTGGGTCATTAAACTTTATTATGTCTAAATATTATATGGGTTTTATATTTCTTATTCAACATGAGAATTGAATTTTCATGTTGTAGAGATAAAAAGTATGTGGGATCTGTATGTTAGAAAAAATTATATGTAGGACCCACGTTGATACGGAAATCGAAGTGTGTGTAGAAAAATTCAAATTCTCATGTTAAATGAGAATTATAAAACCCATATTATATAGTGCTATTGTATCGATGAACTATGTATTAAGTTTCTTTTAATTTCATGGTAGATAATATTTTAATTATATTTAGATTTTTTTTCATAATTAAAGATTGAGATTATAATTTTTAAAACCGTAGGCGATCCGACCATTTACTAGAATTCTATAAAAATAGTTTTTTTAAAAAAAAGAAAATCTAAAAAAATAATTTGATAGTGTTTTGTTCACAAACCACAGTGGATATCATTTATGCATGCAGTTAATTCACTGGAAACTTCTGATTGGTCACGCGTTTACCAGCGCATTAATAATTTTTTAAGCTGCTTTCATTTTACCCTCATTCTTACCTGTATCGTAATAATAATAGGAAAAGTTTCAGCTTTATACGGTACTGGTCTGAACTGAAATGAATGAATGTGAAAACACTGACTTTGCTGGCTGAGTAGGTGGTACGGGCATGTGCCTAGTTATGTGGTAACGACCCAAGTGTCACGGTTTTTGAAATTAATTATCGAAATATCATCGTTAGGTTAGGAGACAAATATTAATATGCCACGTTTCAAGGACTATACTGAGAATTAACGGGTTTAGTGTGTCTCGTTTCACGTGTACAGAACCGCTATGAGCCTATGATCAGTGGAGGTCCCACGTAACAAAAGCGGAAGCTCGAATGCCAAAGTTTCTGTGTTTTAGTATTATCAACTTAACTTACAAAATAAGAAAGAACCACAACATCTATTCCTCTGCAGATAACGTTTTTAATTTTAATTTAGGTTATGTGCAAAAGGCCGAGCCAAAGTGTCCCTAAATTCTAATATTACGTTCAGGTTATAATATGAACACTTTACTCATATATGTTATTAGATCAAATTTGAAGTATGATATAAAATCTACAGTAACTCTTAATTATCTACTGATCATTATTATTCTCAAATTTTCTAAGATTTTTTCCGAAACCATATTTTGCTGTCGTAACTTGCCTATAGTTTGTGTGTAAAATATAAATACAAATTGCTGAATCTAATTGGTAAAATTTATAGCGCTGTCAATTACATAATACCAAAAGCATGCTTCATGCATGTATGCAGAATTGCAGATGCATGCATACCTCCATAAGCTAGCTACTTGAGTAAGTGTTTTGCGACGAGTGCGGCTCAAAAAGTTTCTGCACAAATTCTAAGTGTTTTGGCTAGTTCACTGCACACCTAATGTGCAAAATCACTCATATTGTAGTCTATGATACAAGAAAATTACATTAAGGGCAATAGGGCATGTTAATGATGAAAGAAAGTTCAATAGTAAATAAGACATACTCGTGTACAATGCTCGGTAGAATTGAATTAAAGGGACTTCTCAGAGTAGACTCTAACGAGGGGTTGTTATATGGTCAACATAAATAATGAACAATTTATTTTCTAATAAATTCAAGAACATGTGACGCACCGTAGAATGACCCATGCGTTACCCCGGTGATTGCGTCACATACTTTACTTACGTGTACCTATTCCAAATGCGAACCAAACCGACATGTGGAGACGAGGAGTTATGTTTTTTAAATTAAAAGTATCGCCTAAACTAATAGGTTAAAAGCAGAAAAGTGGTATATTCCCATACATAAATTCATTGCACAAAAACATAACGAAATTCTTTTCTAAGCCAGCAGATTCCCATGGAAAATAATGATGCAAAATATCCCTGTTTCTGGATCACTATTACTATCTAATAATTGGAGTAACTAGCAATAATTAAGGGGTAAGACGCTTTTAAATTTGACTTGTTTTTAAAAATGAATATATGAAGGTGTATTTTTTATTGAGAAGAATATTCTTACTATCAACTCACTACCTATCTAATTATCATTGAATCAAAAAAAAGAATGTTAAAAAAATTCTGAAGAAAAAGAAAATACTGATCCAACAGTAATTAGATAAGTAGTGAGTGTTTGTTGTAGTAAGAATATCACTTTTTGTTTAATTTAAAGTACATATAGTTTAACTCACTAAAATTTAAAATAAATATATTTTTACTTATTAATTCTAAAGACAAACACAATTTAAATTCTTGTTTTTCCCAATTAAGAGATTATCCAGTTGTTTTGTCTATTTCCTTTCAGAGGATGGTACCAGACCTTTCCAATTTTAATTAAAGTCTACTCTCTCTCAGGAGGAGCATATATACATTGCCAACAGCATTCCGCTAATTTTCTGATATGCGAGTTAAATTGAAATCACACAAACCTACAATAAACCAGTCGTTGCATGTTAAATTCTGACAACCTGTACAAAATTAACCCAATATATTGCTTTCTCTTTTATGACAAAAAGGACGTCATTTTAATATTATCTTTTCATTCAAGTGTTATCGTTCTAATTATTAAAAAAGAGAGAGGCTCAAGTAGGGCTTCACCCAAATAGCAACAAATAGCGAATCTAACTTGCAAATGTGAATTGGACAAAACATGTTTTTCTTAATCATACCCTACACATATTACCCATGAATGAGTCACGTTTCCTTGCATTATTATGGATGACAAAATCAGAATAAAAATACATAAAATAAAACAAAATCAGTATAAAATTATAGGGAAGCTTATATTTAATTTTTTTTTTTTTTTTACAAATTCTTACAAATTATGTTATATACTAGAAATAATTTATTGTGTGCTTATAAATAAAAATTTATAAATATGAGTTTTCCCTAAAACTATAAATAAAAGATAAAGATTATATAATATAAAACGACGAGAAGATATTTTAAGTATGCTTAATGAGTTTTATGTTTATTATGTAATGTAACACAATTTCATTTTCTTACACACACATTAAAAGATAGAATTCACATATTTTTTTTTTTTTCACCATTTTACTTTCTCTCTGTTTTGTATTATATGTGTTAAAAACAAAACTTAAGTTATGTAACATAACACTCACAAAACTCACGCTTAATTAAGAGTAAAGAATAAACTGGTGGAGTCCCTCCGGTGCCCTTAAAGCACAAACAAAAGGAAAGAAAACGACAAACCGCTAAAAAGTAAACGTCAATGCTCAACAATAGTGCGGCTAGAGTCTCGTATCTATATATTAATCCATAGACACCATAACCTTAGAGAGAGAGAGAGAGAGAGACTCCAAAACAAGCGAGACAATGGCTGACCCAACAGCTATTATAGCTAGCTGGTTCACACCCTCTTCCCTTTTTATTATCGTAAACCTCGTCATCGGAACCATAGCAATCACTTCTCGCTTTGGTGCACCCAAAAGGGAAATCCACGACCACGAACCCCAACTCGTTCGCTCACCCTCCCTGTTAGAACGAGTCAGGTCCTTTAGTCTCGGTCACTATAACCATCACGAACCAACATTTGCTGCAGAACCCGAGTTCACTCAGCCCCAACAACTCGTTCGAACACCCTCCCTGTTAGAGCGAGTCAGGTCCTTCAATTTCTCCTTCAACAAATACGAACCAACACACGCAGAAACAGAGTATGCCCCAACCCACCAACCCGAATCCGAAAACCCGTGCCCGAACCCGGACAACCCGCAACTGGTTCGAACTCCCTCTCTCTTGCAGCGGCTTCGGTCCATGAGCTTCTCGCGTCGAGAGCAAGAACCCGAAAGTGAGGGTCCGGATCCAAAACCGGGTCGTGATTCGGGTAATGCGGAGATGAGGAAATCGGCGAGCGAGAGGGCGGGGTCAATGAAGTGTGAGCGGGAGGAGGATGAAGAAGCGGTGGAGCGGCGGAGGCCGGCGACGGCGAGAGGTGAGACGACGTCGTTAAGAGAAGACGAAGAGGTAGACGCGAAAGCTGATGATTTTATAAACAGGTTTAAGAAGCAACTGAGGTTACAGAGGGTTGATTCTCTTCTCCGTTACAGAGATATGCTCAGAGGAAATTGAGAAGAGAAGAAGTCATCACTGTTCATGGAAGGTGAATAAGGAAAAGCACAGAACAGATCGTCAGTGCGTGTGTGTATGTGTGTCTCTTCGTAGTTAGGTGATGTTATTATTGTACCAAACCAGAAAAAAAACTGGTTAAGTTTGTTGTATTAGTGCTTGAAAAATAACAATAGATGCATGGATTAATTGGTTTTGTGAAGTCATGGAATAAAGATTTCCAGCTACTGCTACTTATTTCTTCACTGTCAATGGTATATAAAATGCATGTGGGTTTAAAGTTTTTTACTGATAAACATAGACATAAACATGGGATTTATTTGAGGTTGTTGCAATGCTGGAGGAGAGAGAAAAAGAAAAAGCAATTCCATTTCCATGCACTTTTATACACTGTTACAGTGTTACCAATAAACTCTGCTAGTTAGCGGATAGACAGACCGGTGTGGTTTCGGTTTAACTTGATCCATTTTTGGCAAAAATTGAACCGGACTGATTTTCTTTACTATTTTGAGATTGGCAAAAAAAAATTAATTTATTGTTTTTTAATAATTTTTTTTTTGAAATTATTTACGAAAATATTGCACTCAAATACGTTAATATGAGCATGACCAAAGAGAGAGACACCCCTATATAAGGCGTGACTGAAGAGAGAGACACGTCCAAAAAAAGGCGTGACCTCCCTCGTATGTATATAACCATAATAGTTTAAAAACATTTTTTTTCTTCTTATTTTGTAATTATAAATTTTTAAATGCGAATTGAAGGATATGTCCGTCAAAATGCTATGATACAAATAAAGCGATAAACTATCTTTCTACTAAATAAATAAATAAATAAATAAAATAGATAAATAATAATAACACTATATCCTCATGAATAAAACGATAAACTATCTTTGTACTAAAAAAACAATAAACTATCTTTGTACTAAAAAAGCGACAAACTATCATAAAAGGGAAACTGAATTAGAATTCATAAGAATATGATACAAATTTTTATTCTGAAAATAGCTCGGTGCCTCCTTGAAGCTTTTAGTCCTGTCACTCTCACCAGCTGCTACTGCCACCATAACACGTCTGCTTAACATAGTGAATAATTATATGAAAAATATATTCTTATGTTGCAGGAGACTGTTTTTCTCTCATATACATATATCGATTTCTGTAAAAAAAAATTTATAAATGAGTGGGTCCCACATACAATTATCTCTATAACATAAGAGAATTTCTCTCCTGTTGCACGAGATTAATAAAGCCCATAATTATATTATCAACTAAATAAATTAGCTCGAATTATAATCTACATTTAATTATTTTGTGTTTGATGTGACTTCTTCTTATTTTTTTCGTGCTATATATATATAAAGAGGTAGGATATTCATACTACTAAATTTTTCTACTACCATTTCATTACCGCTCTAATCATCATTGGATTCAAAAGTTATTTTTCTTTCTCTCTTTTCATTCACTTTTCTTCTAATCCAATGGTAATTAAAGTGGTAGTGAAGTGGTAGTAGAAAAATTTGGTAGTATGAATATCCTACCTCATATATAAATATGAACAATTAATTTGAAATTTATTTTTAAGAATTTATTTGAATAAAAATATCATTTTATTTATTTTGTAAATTTTTATAATCTTATAATTCTATTTAAAATACTGACTTTTCAATTTTTAAAAATAAAACAAGAACTAATCTATAAACAAGTTAATAAAAAAATAATTTTTTAAATTTTATGAAATTAGTCAAATTACGTTACAAATAATATTTTTATCCATTTATATCATATTCCAATACTCTTTGATTCAGATTAAATATATGATAAGATTATATAATTCTATAGTTCTGCTTATTTAGTGCAGGATATGATATGTATTTATCATTCCTTTATCGCTTCCTGCTTCTATCCAACCTTTTTATCATGCTTATGTTTATCATATCTTATCCACCAAGCCTAAAAGTCATAAGACTCATAACTCTATAAGAAATATTTATTAAATATTAAAACTGATAAATTGATAAAAGAATTGGTCCCAATTGATAAAATATTTTTAAGTGCTTAACGCAGGTACGTTTAACTTGGATTTTACATGATCTAGAATAAAATTAAAAAAAAAGTTTAATGTTTATCACTTTTTTTTATATTCTATGTTTATCTCTAATATAGGAAATAAAAACACTAATATGTGTGCAGAACATAAATTTATCTTATATTTACAAGAAAAACATTAACCCCATTTAAAAATATGGGAATTGATGTGGTATTAAAAATAAAAACTGAATAAAATAAATGTAATTAGAAGAATCTTTTGTTTCTAATTTTAATAGCTGTAGTATTGGCTAGAGGTGGCAAAGTGGGCGGCCTGCCTGCCCTGCCCGCCATCAACCCGCCAAAAAATAAGTGAGCCTGTCCCGCTCCGCTTTTGGAAGTGAGCTGAAAAACTCAGCCTGCCCCGTCCCGTTTGGCAGGTTGGGCGAGATGGCCCGCCAGCCCGAGCCTATTTTACTCTGACCCGCCTCGACCCGCCATCAACTCGCCAAAAAATGAGCCTGCCCCGCCCTGCCCTGCTTTTAAGATGGGTTGAAAAACTCAGCCCGTCCCCCCCATTTGGCAGATTGGGCGGATTGGCCCGCCGAGCCGAGTCCGTTTTGCCAGCTCTAGTATTGGCCTATGAAGTACCGACACTTAAAAAATCTTGACGTATCGTGTCCGACACTTTTCGACACTCACCGACACTTTCTGACACTCCAATACGCGTCGTAAAGACTCAAAAAAGGTTCAAAGGTTACGTTGCGTTGCCTTTTGAGTTTCAATTATTATATTTGTTAAATTACGATTACGATTTTATTGAGTTTAATATAAATATTTGGGATATATTATGTTTCTTTGCAAAATTGATAGGTATTACAAGTTTAACTTTATTTTTTTGTTAAATTATTGAATACTAAATATAATATATACTACATAAATTAAAAATATTATATAATATCAAAACGTGTCCTAACATGTCAAAATTTAACATTTTTTAAAATTAATGTGTCGAAAAATCATGTCGTATCTCGTGTCCCGTGTCGATATCGGTGCAAGATAAATATTGACCGAGTCATCAATAGTGAAAATTTATTCCTCAAATAAAAGTGGTACACAGAGCATATGCAGAATTGCATATGCAAGTCAAAGTGTCAAGACACATTGTATATCTACAGTAAACCATTTCGTACATTGATTAGGATATAAATTTTTTGGGGGTTGGGGAATGGGGAGGATAAAAAAGGCTTAACAATATATTTTTAAAGGGTCATGCCGTATTAGTAATGAGATAAAATGGCAAGGGACCTGATTTGGCCAGAGATAGTGTTTAAACAGTTATCATTAAGCTCACCAGCCCTTTACCTCAAAAGTACAATAATATTGCTGGTCTAGCCATCAGGTCAAAACGTTATTTATGCCAAGGTTTCAAAGTCAAGCAGCTGGAACCTTTCTTCCATCCTCTATAAAGAAAATTGCAGTTTCTGGGATCTACAGGCGGAAAATAGTCTTTCAATCATTTAAAAGATCCAAATTCTTGGAGGAAAGGAAGTAACGAATTTAAAAAGGATGAGATATGTTATCCAAAAAATAAAATAAAAGGATGAGATATGAATGGCATAGATAAAGCGTAAAGATTGGTCACACAACCTAAAATAAGACAACTCACTGCTTTTTTTATTATTATTATTATTTTATGGGTTTAGTATTTGTCATTTTAAATGACACAACTTTGTGTTATTTTAATAAAACTACATCGTTTTGGAGTGTTTTGTTATTTTTTCTAATTTATAAAATTAAAAATAAAAAGAAAATGGAGGAGAGAAAATGTTAAAACTTACCAAAATGACATAATTTTGTGTCATTTAGAATGACAAATATTTTTTCCTTATTTTATAAGTCAAACATCCATATTTTCCAAAATTCTAGTATAACATTCACCAGTTAGCTAGAGGTGTCAAAATACGCCCGCCCATTGGGCCGGGTCATTTAGCTTTTCGGTCTGAATTTTTCACCGCTTGACAAAAACTGGACTGGAAAGCCCAAAAAATTATGACTAGTCCTCAACCGACCTGATGGCTGATGCGGATGGTGTGAGACCGAGCTCATTTTATTTGGAAGTATCATCTACAAATGATTAAGCAATTTAAGCACAGAGATGATATCACTAAAATGTGGGTAACACTCTCAAGCTGTTTTCATTGCTTCTTTTGATGAAAACTGAAAATACATCTTTGAATCATAGTATAGTCCACTTGGTCTTCTATAATTTCAATATTGTTAAATTGTTCTTCCTATTCTTCCATACGAAAAATTAAGCACTAAAAATTATTAAGATTAATTCAACAAATATCAACAAGACAAAACTATAACAATCTGAGCATTGCATGGTGAAAGGACTAGTTATAATATCAAACAACTGAAAATGAAAATGACTTACATCAGGCCATGTTTCTGTTAAGAACTCCACGATATTATAAGCTATATCCCCTTGAACATAAATTTGCTCTTTCTCAGTTGGTCCCTGTTGGAATTAATGAAAGAATTAATGTACAATGATGCATTGGTTATGAATAAGAAGTGGGTAAATAAAGAAAAAAGAAAAAAAGAAGATGAAGAGGTGTGTGGGTTTAACAAGTCCCACATTGGACAATTAGTAGGAAGTGAGAGAGCATAGAAGCTCCCACCTCACTCTCATAGTTTGACCCTTGGGTCACTACATATTTTATGTAGGGGAGGAGCTAGGTGGGCTTTGGTTCACCACACGCGCGTCGCGGTTCGGTTCATATGTGTGTAATAAATAGACAGACACCTTCAGAAATTGATCTAGTTTTCTATGCACTGAAACTCTGCCGGAATTTTTCTCCTTCCGGTTTTTGCATACTGCCTTTCATCCTCCGGTGTACTTTCCTCTGGCAATTGTTGTGTTCGTTTGGGCTGTTGATTGGTAGTGCCACCATTCTTCAGACGAAATCCGTTCTATCCTGGGAGACAAGTGTCCTTCAACCTTTGGCATCTGTGAGGGGGAAAATTGTCTTAAGGAGGCACGTTCTGTGGGCTCGGATTTTAAATTCCTCCACTGCATATATTCCTTCCTCTGATTTTATTCCTCTACTGCATATATTCCTTCCTCTGATTTTGTCTGCTTTATCACACTCTTCAAGTAAGTTTGTTTTAATTATTATAATTGCACAGTGATAATTCTGATCATCTACCTCCTCTGTTTATACACGGATTCAAATCTATTAGTGATGTAATATCACCCACTGTTTTCAATAAGAGTCCCCCGCTCCAAATCAAACCAAAATAGTATAAGACATTAGATACATCTGTTAAAAACTAATTATATGCCCACAACTTAAAAGGTAAAAAACCTTGACAATAGAAGCTCCTGTGGCGAACTTTTTCCCAAGTTTCTTTGAAGCTTCACTAAGCTTAATTCCTGAAATGCAGTACAAGAGACCCAGTTATTGTCAGTTTAATATCAACGGCACTAATGAAATAATAACCCAAAGACAATGAAATTTTTTATGATTTACGTATAGCTCACCAAAAAGGTCCAGGCCTTTCACAGTGGTGATACATTTTCGTTTGTTGCGTATGACCTTTTCAATTACAACTTCTTGCTTCTCCTGAAATAAAAAAGATGCCACTTCTGATTATATCAAAATATTGGGATTATCATATTGAGTATCAAATGATGAGTATGTATAATTTGAGAGCCTAGAAGAATTCCAAGACATGCCTTTTTCTTTATCTTCCCACCAGGAAGACGTTTGACCTCTTCTCGCTTAGGTGCTAAAACATCAAAAGATACCATGATGGAGACTTCAAATATTTTTGTACTAATCTAGTGGCAAGGAGTTAGCAACGTAACACTGGCACTGAAAAAACAATATTCAGTTTGTAATCAAATCACTACTAAACATCTATCACAATTAGAATTCATACGATGGCTAGAGTCTGATTCCATGACAACGGTGGACATTATCCAAAAAGGGTGTGAAGAGTATCAAAGTTATGCTAGGCTGGTTGTAAAGACTGGACTGTCAAAGTAAACCATATATACAGGGAAGCCAATGGAGTGGCTGATTGGTTAGCCTTCAACCATATGCCTGGAGTTTGGAGCATGCAGGTCTTCGAGTCTCCACATCAGGGATGTGTTTTATTGCTAGACAACGATAGGATGGGATCCTCGTATCCCAGAATGATTAGAATGTAATTTGTTTATTTTGCTTTCCTTTCTCTATCCAAAAAAAAAAAGAATTCATACGATGGATGACAGCCAAACAAACTATCCAAATTCATGATGACATTGACAGATCAGCTTTGAAATTTGTGGAATCTTGAACTTCATCAATGCCATAAAAGAAAAAACTACGTAGAAAAAAAAAAATGAACCGGTGATGTTTTGATGGGCTTTTTCTTAATAAAAAAAGTGCTTCTGGAATTTATGTGATGTTTGGATGGAAACTTTTTAAAAAAGCAAAATCTAATAAAAAGTTAAATTTCTTCTTTTCAGCTAAAAATTTTAACTTTTAAAAGAAGCAAAAGTCAAAAGCAATTTTACGCCTTCTTGTTTCAAATCCCTTGCCCTTCCTTCAAATACATCTTCGCCGTCATCCTCTAAGCAACCCCTAATCCACTCGTATCAGACTTCTCAATACTAACATCCACATTGTTTGGCGGAGACGGCGACCTCGACGGTACCCCATCCCCATCGTGAAGCCACTTTCCAGAAAAATAGCTTCAGGTTTGGCTATGAACAGTTCTTATTGGTTTGCTTGGTTCACGACTGAGGATTACAAAGGAAAGTAACGGTGCATTTGAATTTTACCAAGAAAGTTGTTTATGATATCTTCTATTGTGTACCTTTTATGCTATTGATTTTTGGTTTTAATTCAACAATCACATAATAACCCCTGCCGCCACTCATTGCTGCCGCCGGCCTGTTTCCCACTTCCTCTCTGAAAATATTCAACCTTGAAGAACCAAAGTTTATAGTTTCTGTTTCAGTTTCGCACAAATTTTTTGCCTAGTTGAAAGGAAGCTGAATCCAAGTGGTTTTATATTTAAAAAGTCCTTTATCATTTTAACATTCAAATGATATTTTTACTTAAAAATACTTGTTAATATTACCTTCAAAAGCAAAATAATTTTAACTTTTAAAAGAAGTTCTTTTAAAAGAAGTAAATCATAATTTTTATTTTTATTTTTCAAAAGTTGATCCAAACAGGCCAAGACTGCTTAGAATATACTCAAATCCATACAATATTCAAATAATAATCTTCCGATATAATTAGAAGAGATTAAACCCTGGCAAGCTATTATTGAATCATAAGGATGTGTTGTTATATCAATTGCAATTTATATCAATTGCAATTTGCAAGAATCACAATTAAAAACCCATACGACGTTATAATTTAGCTCTACAAATTGTTATTTGTTGCGTACATGACGGATCGGGTACGGTCTTCAAGCTCCATCTTTAGTGCCTTAAAACATTCTTAAATGTTCTCAAAGTTATGTGTTGAATTCAATAAAAACAAAACAATTTTAAAATATAATTTAATAAATTTTTAATCAAATTTTTAGTTGTTAAGAATAAACATACTTACAATACCGTAAAATTGCAACATAAAGAAAGAGGGGGTGGGTAGTTTGCTCATGTCACTACATGCTAAGGGGAGAAATATATTAGGTAAGAGAAATTGGGCTTCTTCCATTCTAAAAGTCAGTGTTATTAAACTCGGCCCGGACATCGAACCAGTCAGGGTACTGGGTCACTGGTCGGACCGGTGGGTCACCGGTCGAACCGGTTGACCCGGATATATATTATATATATATATACATATATATATATATATATATATATATATATATATATATATATATATATATATATATATATAAATATATATAATGAGCATTTAATAATGGACGGACCAGATTGTATTTTGGCTTAAGAAAGAACGATGCTGATCAATTCACTTGAATTAGGAGAATAGAAAACACAGATCCGTGTGATGCTTTTTGGTTGGCCAAAACTCTCTGCTTTTCATATGACTTTTTCTTCTCTCCTTTTTTTGTACTCTCTCTCTCAAATCCTACAACCAAGAGCGCTTTTCACTCAATGTTTCTATGGAAGGCTGAATCTGGAGTGTACCCATTTGGCAATCACTTGATCTACATGAGAAAACCTCAGAATTTTATGCATTTGGGGGATGAAACCCTTACAAGGAAAGCAATATGAGGCAAAGTTTGGAACTTTTTGTAAGGTCCTAATGTCCTATAATGGTGCTAAGGATATGAGCTCGCTAAGGAAACACTTTTTCTCCGTCGATTCTCATCTCCTCTTCTCCCACACTCTACAAATTCCACAACCCCAATGGTGCCGAAACGGTCCCAATTTGTGGATTGCTGACGACCATGACTGAAGACCCCTTCCCCCTAGGTGGCGAAGCTTCTAGTGAGCTTGTCTGTTTCCTTTCAGGGAGGCCTTTTCGCTGCCTTTTCTTTTTGGTCACCGGAACCCGGGAAAAAACCGGGTGGGTCGTGCGGGTCTTCACGGGCTGAATGCATGTCCGGTCTGAATGGTGACTCCAACCGGTCACCCCACCGGGTCACCGGAACCCGGGTCGACCCGGCAAGGTCGGTCCGAGTTTAATAACACTGCTAAAAGTTAATTTATTTTTTTTCAATGGCTTTTGAAATTTTTCTGCTATTTGGAGCCCCTGCCTTCTCAAAAATGTCCATAAAAGCTATTTTAAAAGTGTTTTTTTTATAAAAGCTAGATCTATTTAGATTTTTTTTAAAAAATGTTTTTTAAAAAAAATATTTTACTTTTCACTTCTACTTTTTTTAAAAGTTTAAAATTTTAATTTCCATAAAAATAGGTTTTTTAATTTTTTTTATGTCTTCTACTTTTTTTAAAAGCACGTCAATAAACTTTGTTTGAGAAATATTATTTTTTTTTTTAAAAAAATCAGCTTTTGGAGAAAAAAAATCCATCCAAACAGACCCTTGAATGTTAGTTTTTAAGAAAAGGATAAATGAGTGAATATATCATTTAGAGTATGTGGAGACTTGACCGTTCATCCGCTATTGCCCATTTTGATGAAGTTAATTTATTTGAGACTTACATTTTGCTATCTTTATTTTATAAACATTGTCGATTGTGAACTGATTTTGAGACTTATTTTGGATGTGAAGATTTAGATGAGTTTAGATTGAATCTAAAATTCTAAATATTTATTTTGGTATGTTTGTCTTGAAAATTGAAAGGCATATGTTGGATATATTAATTATATAGTCCAATAATATGTTCACTTACATGCTCAATAGGTGAAAACATATTTATTTGGATTTATATGAGCTAGAACCCAATAACTTACATTATCTCTAGTTAAGCATTCTAAAATTTGATGTTTCTTAGTGTAATACTTCAAACACTTCCTGTGAATCTTTCTCTCTCAAATTCATTATCTCCAACATGACTACCATATTCGACACTTCCTTTTTTGTTTTTGTTTTCGTCTATCAAAATTTAATTTACACAAAGAAAGGAGTATTCTTTTCCTCAGAAATTCTATTCCACATGGTCCAAGAATATTTAACTATACATCAAGTTTCAAATTAAATTCCTTTTAAACATTCTACTTTTTTTTAGTCCAGTGGAGATTTAATGAGCGCTAAATCGGTTGGATCATTTCACTTGAAACATTTTGAGCAATAGTGTACAGGTCAGCAAAGGCCTACGTAAATGGTTTGGCAACTGTATGTACACTTTCTAGAGTGATGGTCCCAGTCCGAAGATTAGTTCATCTATGAGAAATTCCCTCTTGTTTGTCTACACATGAGACAGCAGATAACCACAAATACTGGTCAAACTTTTTAATATATCAAATCTTTCTTAATTGGTTGTGTCATATATCTCGACATATCAGCGGTTGTTGGCAACAGCTACAAATGATCAAAGATTTTAAATTAAGTTTAGTATGTATCTAAATCATGCCTCAATAAACACATGGTTATAGCTCTTCGTATACTTACGAGGCTCCTTGTTGGTAGGATCACCAAAAAAGCAAGCTAGACTTGTAACGAGTGATAGTTACGGGAATATAATACAAACAAAATGAACGTAAACTACGTTGGATGAATAGGATAAATCATTTTGTCAATTTTTTTTTTCTCTCTTTTTTGTTTTGTTTTCTGTTTGTGTGTATTGTGCGATTGTGAATTTCCAACATAAGTGTAACACCAAAAATCACTATCTGGTTTCCCAGTAGGCTTTGTTGTTTCTCACGGGAAACTCCTCTTTCTTTACAAGGTTAGAAGACACTATCCGCACTTGCCGAGGAGCTATGCAGTTCAATACAAGATACTTTTATCATATATATATATATATATATATAGAAAAATGTGTATCATCTTAAACGATAAAGATATAAAGTTGTGTCATTTTAAGTGAGAGAAAGAAATAAATCATGGGAGAGAGTGCAGGAAAAAAGTTTTAAAGATGTGGGTCTCACCTCTTTGTGAGAGTGAATGAATGTAATGACACAACTTCTTCCTATATATATATATATATATATATATATATATATATATATATATTGGGTAGATTTATCATATATTGGTTTTGTTCGTTACGTTACGTATCACACGCTAAATTAGAGTTGAGAAAAATTAGGAAGTGAAGCACAATATTTAACGTGAATATATATAAAATTATATAGAAAAAATATATTATACCATCCCTTGAAAATTGAATGATAAACTAATGGAGACATGTATCTATAGTCAAGAAACCCCTCAATTTTCATCCCCTCCTTCAATCATGAATCATGCCAACTATATATATATATATATATATATATATATATATATATATATATATATTCTTTTAATGTTTAAAATTATCAACCTTTATATATATATATATATATATATATATATTTTGGATTCGCTTTTTCTACTGTTACTGCAGATAAGTTATCTGCAGTAAGCCCAATACGACGTCGTTTTGAGGCGAAAATCATGGTGTTTTTATAATTTTAATTTATTTCAGGGTTATAATAATATTTATATTTATAATTTTTTAAAATTTCAATACCAAAATGACGTCGTTTTGAGAATAAATGCAGATAATTTATCTCTGCAGAAACATTTTTCCCATATATTTTTCTTTTAACAACTTTCACTTTATTATTTCCCTTAAAATAAAAAATGACTTTACTTTTTTGACTTTACATTTTTCTTTATTTTTTGAAAAAATCACAGGTATCCTTCATGGGAAGCAATACTGTTCGAACCGGGAATATCCACATTATGGTAGGACTACTTGAATCTAAGAACTTACTTAAGCGGAATTAAGCATATACAACTTAAATCAACCCTTTCATCATGTGCAAAATCATTTATTAATTCTATTCTTCAAACACATCTCAACTATACTTAAATATATCACATTTACCGCATATATACGTGATGAAGTGTAAAGCCGTCTAATTAGACTGGACTTGGTTGTATAAAATCTTCCTGAATGTAAGGCTTCACGTTGCAGGACAAAGAAAAAGAAGCAAAACATATAAATGACTACTTAAACTACAAAATAAGCAACATTTAGTTAAGAAAGATTAATATAAAACTATATTTTATATATACATTTTTTTTTAAAAAAAAAAGTCAAGGAACCACGTATATACGTACAAAGTGTTCATGGAGGGACACTCACAACATTGGTGGATATCTAATAAATTTCACATAAATGCTAATATAATTGAGCATGTTTGTATTTCACATATAAACATCGTTCTATACACGAAATTTTCTGACCAAATATATTCATAATAATTGTGTGTCAGAAATGTTTTCCGTTGAGAAACTAATTTGTATATAGAAACCTCCTCGCGTATCATATAGATACACACTGTGTCAAATGATTAGCAAATCAACTATTGAGTTTGACAAATTGTCACAAATAACACCATATGTTTTACAATTCTCGTCCAACGTGAAAATTGAAATCTTTCTACAAATTATTTGATTTCTGTGCTGACGTACATAATTTTTTTTCTAACACATGGGTCTCATATGTCTTTTGTCTCTACAACATAAGATTTCAATTCTTATGTAACTTTGAGAATTATAAAACCCTACATTAAATTAATATGAAGTCTTCCCATTACAAAAGAAAAAATAATGTACACTCTTCAACGTAACATTTGACTTGAATTTTTAAACTCCGTCGTCCAAGGACTAATTAATGTTATGATCGGCGAGAATGATAATTAAGGCAACTAAACAAGTAAAAGAAAAAAATTTCTTCCCAAAGCGTACAAATGAAAAATGAAATTTACAGATCCAAGATTACAACTTACAAGGCGTACAAATCAAAGCACCATATACAATAGTAGACTAAGACGTCATTACACACGCCTAAAAAAAAAACTCTGCCTCTTCCTCATGTTTGCTATATATATGTAACTAGCCATTGAGAGTTGAGACATAAACTAGAAAACTCTCATAACCTATTCAAAGCAATAGCATTACAAAATTAAATCCGAAATGGCAAGGTATTTCATAGTACCAAAAGTTTTGGTTATGCTATGTCTAACCAGCATCGTTGTCACACAAGCACAATCACAGCCATGGTCAGCACTACAAGCACCCAAAGAACTAATCCAGAATCTTAGTCGTGACCCTTTGACCCTTTCACTAGCCTCAACCGATTTCGGCCACATAATTCACGTAAACCCGGTGGCAGTTTTTGAACCATCGTCCATTAGTGACATCTCGAATTTGATAAAATTCTCAAATTGTCTTCCCATCCCTTTCACTATAGCTGCCAGAGGGCAAGGCCACTCGGTTCATGGACAAGCCATGGCACATGATGGGGTTGTGGTGAATATGACTGAGTTAAACGGTTTTAGAAATGGGACTGGGATTATAGTGTCTGATGAGAAGACTCCATTATTTGGTTATTATGCTGATGTGGGTGGTGAGCAGATTTGGATTGATGTGTTGAATGCAACCCTTCAACGTGGACTTACACCCCTCTCTTGGACTGATTATTTGTTTTTATCTGTTGGTGGAACTCTCTCCAATGCTGGGATCAGTGGCCAAGGCTTCCGGTTTGGTCCTCAAATCTCCAATGTTCATGAATTGGATGTTGTTACGGGTATGTATTATTCATTTCCTTAATAACTTTTCCAGATGAAATCCTTTAAATTTTTATATTAAGTTCCATGATTATTGAAGTTCTTTATGACTTACACCCCTTTAGCAATTTAGGTCAAAATTTTTCGAGAGTCAAGATATAGAGATAGAGAGAAAGAGAGAATTTTGAGAGTCAAGATATAGAGATAGAGAGAAAGAGAGAATTTTGATAGATATGATGTAACAATTTGATTAAGCTAACTTGATAAGTCACATCATATCTTTATTGAAGATTTTAAATTTGTCTCTTTATGAAGTGAAAATTGACCATGTCATTAAAAATTGATTTAGGGTTATGTACCTGCTTAATTATAAGATTTAGTATTTCTTCGTCACTTGCTAGGTTTAAAATCTAATGATGTCTACTAGCTAGTTCAGGTTTATCTCTTGATTTACAACGTAATGTTTATCGCTATAGTGGATTAAAATATTTGTACTGTAATATATTTTATCTAACAGAAAAGAATAAATTTAGTCCCGTTTGTTTTCTAGGTAGTCTTTTGCTAAGAATTTTAGCATTAAAAAATAAGAGTTTAGACTAGTATTGATTCTTTATTTTGGTGATGTACTTTGTTTATGGTCGGTCCTTTAAAAATCTTAAAAAAATCGAATCTACGCAAAGACAAGAAAACTATATTATTAGAATGAATGTAATTGTCACGTGACATCATCGTATATTTGCCAAGATTCCATAATGAATGATTAAATCAATAGAGTGCGACATGAAATACTACACCTGTTTATTATCCTGTTCGACCGGCTTGGATTGGATACGCTAATAATTTATGTCGTTAAGTCAGCCAACAAATATTCAGCACGCATTCATGCTTTTTTTTTTTTTTTTATAGTATCTTAATATATTCTCCATTTTAATGAAAATTATCTCTTCAAAATTAACAATTGAAGTTTATTTTATAAAAAACATAGAAGTCAAGATGTTTTTAGGTCTAAGGAGTGATATACTCCTGCATTCTATTTTTGCCATTTGATATAGTCTAGCTGGTTTGCTGAGTATGCTATTTATTTATTAAATGTATTACATATTTAATGGCTGTGGTAAGACAATTGAGAAAAGATTTTGAAGTGGTCAAAAGATAATAAAGATTGGTATAACTAAAAAATTAATTGAATGTAATTAAAGTTTAAGCGAGTTTGGTGCGCATTTAACCTTGATGTTAGAGTAAATACAAATATGAATACGAAGTGGATATTTAGATGCGTAATAATAATAATAATAACAATAATTAAAAACAGAAGTATCAAATATCAAATAAGAGGGGTTTAAAGTCTTAATCCTGAACCCACCCCGAATCGGATTAGTTGCGAAGCGATGAACCGATTGGAATATTTCCAAAAAATATCAAATAAGATGTTAGGCACGGTTTTGATATTTTTAATCTTTGAACATACATCTCTTTCTATACACATTTTCTTTGGGCATACTGTACATACATTTTTATACATGGCTTCCACAGGGAAAGGAGACCTAGTTACTTGTTCTGCGGAGAAGAACTCAGAGTTATTTTACGCCGTTCTAGGAGGTTTAGGTCAATTTGGGATTATAACCAGAGCAAGAATAGCTCTAGGACCTGCACCCACGAGGGCAAGTATCATCTTATCTTATTTTATTTATTTATTTATTTATTTTTCAACACATGCAGGTCTAGCTTGTTCAATTTTCAAAACTACCAATAATTAATCAGTTGAAAAAGGAAAAAACAATTCCATATGCATACATCTTTGTCGTTAGTAAGTCACAATCAAAATTAGTTGCTTGCCAGTAATTCATATTAATTTATTACATGTCAAACTTAGAAAAATGTTTACAAATGATAATCATTCTTCATTATTTCCATTAATTAACTAATATAAAAAAAATGGTTTGCTTAATTGCTTGCAGGTGAAGTGGCTCCGTTTGCTTTACAACGACTTCTCTGCATTTTCTGGAGACCAAGAACATTTAATCTCATTTAATGGAAGAAACGAAACTAATGCAGCTGATTATGTAGAAGGTGAGCTCCTGCTAAATCAGCCACCACTGGACCTTTCGTTTTATCCACCACTTGATCAACCTCGCATAACTTCCCTGGTAACCCAAAATAGCATCATCTACATCCTAGAGCTTGTCAAATATTACGACAATAATTCTCAAGAGCATGTGGACGAGGTAATTAACTTTAGTTATGTTCTTTTCAATTCTTAATTAGGATATATATCCGATTTTTTTTTATGATTAATGTCACATAAATATGATATAAATTAAATATAAGATCGATAATGTACCTTTACATAATAGCCTAAGCTTTTGAGAGAATTATTTCTTTATGTGATACCTGAGCCACTCAACCCAAAAGTTTATTTATCTATGAAAAGATCTAACGTAGTTATGTTGTTGTTTCTTGAATAGGAAGTTGAACTTTTGGTCAAGGGGTTAAAGTTTGTTCCTACGTTTATGTTCGAAAAAGATGTGTCGTACGAAGAGTTTCTGAACAGAGTTCACGCTCAAGAACTTGTACTTAGATCACAAGGACTTTGGGATGTCCCTCATCCTTGGTTAAACCTCTTTGTTCCAGGATCTCGAATCTCGGATTTCGATGAAGGTGTGTTCAAGGGAATTATTCTTGAGCAAAATATTACTGCAGGACTTGTGATAATCTACCCCACGAACCGAACAAAGTAAGTTTTATGAGTTTGGTTAATGAAAGTAAGAATATAAATATAATTACAATCGTACGTATCGTAACAAGAAGTACATTTTTAAAATGCATTAACTACTCACAGGTGGGATGATAAGATGTCAGCAGTTACACCTGATGAAGATGTTTTCTACATAGTGTCTCTCCTGCATTCAACTGGGTTTGACAAGGTGGAAGCATTTCAGGCTCAAAACCAACAGATATTACAGTTCTGTGCGGATGCTGATATTGGGATCAAAGAATATCTTCCCCAAAACAAAACTCATGAAGAATGGGTGGAACAGTTTGGCCCCAAATGGGAAGTTTTCAAAGAAAGAAAAGGTCATTTTGATCCGAAAAGAATATTGTCTCCAGGACAAGGGATTTTCAATTAAATAAAGAATAGAGTATGACAAAAAATATGGTTATCACTTTAGTCTTTTACAAAAAAGATTAGTCGCATGGATTTTATGAAATTCAAAGTGGACCCATTTTAGTCTTTTTGAGAGACTAACGTGAGTCTTTTTTGAATTTGTAAGGAACCATGATTTCAACTAAATGGGTCCACTTTGAATTTTTAAGGACTTCCAGACTAATTATTTTTTGTAAGAGACTGAAGTAGGAACCATATTTTTTGGTAGGGAACAAAATATGCTTTGCTCTAAAAAATAAGCTCGGTTTCAATTAAATAAAGAATATTGTCTCCTGGACAAGGGATTTTCAATTAAATAAAAAATAAGCTCGGTTTCATTTTCCTGTCTTTTATTTGTAATCTTTTTTATAGTCATTTGTTCTACAGTAATTAACTAAGATGTTTCCCGTTATGTATTTAATTTTGTCATAAATATTTGAACGTCTGTAACCCAATTTATTTAACTAGTTCTAAACTTTATGTACTAAAAAAGTAATTTACATATAATGCATATATTCCTATACTTTTCAATTTTGATGAATGTTATTAAAATCAAACTGGGTTTGTCCGTCTGATCAGTTCAATTGGGAATTGGATGATTATTGGTCCAGTCCAGTCATTAGATTGAATATGCAAGTGAATCGGTATAAAATTGATGAACCGCTTATAAATCAAGGTTCAATTGCGTAGAACAGCTTTTGAATTTTTTTATAAATAATTTGTAGGTCGAATTGCCTGTATAGCTTATCACAACCTACAACCACTTGTTTGTCAAAAAAATTCTCTGATAATATTTATTATATATTTTTATATAAATTTAGTTCCACTAGCTAGTTTAATTAATAACTTACCGATTGAAGCAGTGACTTAATTATTGATGCACGCAATACTCTAAATGAGTTGCTAATCGGTTCAACATTAATTTTGATATCAAAATTGATTTGGCTTGTTGAGATAATTCTTCTTAAATTTACAATGGAACTGAAAATTCAATAGAAATTATAATTTTGTATAACCCTGCACATAAACACAAACACAAACACATATATAGGGCACATCAATTTACAATCGGATAAAAATAATAAATTTTACACACAATCTTAATTACACACGCATACACACCCAGATATATTCCAATGTAAATTGAATCATTTGGCCACTAGAATACTCTCACCACAATTTGATAGTTTTTGGCTGTCACACAAGTCTTTTAAAATGCTTTGGTTTAGTATATCTCTTAACAGATCTCATCACACAAATAAATTTTCGATTTTGAAGCGCGCGTATAACGCATAGATTCATTTTTTTTGTTGGATTTCGAAGCGCGCATATAACACAAAGATTCACATATTTTTTTTGTTACCTTATGCTTAAATTTAATTTTTTATTTGATGAATGAGTGCAATAAGAATTATATTCTAGACCACTTGATTATATGTTTTGATATCATGTCACGCAACCTACTCTCTCAAAAAATTAAACCATTGGCTGAAGCCACATGAATTAGTTTATAATATCTCGTACCATAGACTAAGAAGACGCATTAAAACTTATGTTATAAATAAGGTAAGTTCTTTTTCTTCCCTTGAATTAGATTTGGAGGTTAGGTAGAAAAGAGAAAGGGGACAAAATGATTTTTAGCAATGAGACATATCTTGCCATATTTTGGAAAAGAAGAATAGAATTAGGGTTAATTATGATTCCATGCTACATTATTCAATTCATTCCTTTTTTCTATCTATTGTCAACATTAGTATAATTCACAGTGTGTGAATGTTGGGATCATGTCTTGGATTTTCCACAACAATCAGACATATCGATCCGTAAAGCATATCTACAATGTAGACACGAAAAAAAAAGTATTGTATTACAAAAAAAGAAAAAAAGAAAAAAAAAGTATTAATGGGGGCTGCTAACTTTATCTGTCTCCTGATTGCCTGCAAGCTGGAATTAAGAGTTGCAACAAAATTATGCACTCCTTTAAATAGGCTGTCTCTGATCCCAGTGGAGGCCGCAAAGTACATTACCTCTAGTTAATTAATCAACTTGTTTTATTCATTAATTTCTCGTGTTCACATATCTAATGGGGCAAAAGGCAGTCATGTGATTGGAGCCGATCGACATGCTCTATTATCAAATCTTCTGAGTTAATTATCAATATAGTATAACAAAAAAGTAACATACTACTCTTCTATCGTTTTAATATATAATGACAAGAATGACAGCTAAATGCGGTTTACTTTATTTCAATGATCATTTTGATTTGTAGATGAACTCATTACTTTATACTTTGCATGTGACAACAAAAGCACTCGTGTGTGTGTGTGTGTGTATAAGTACTATATAAAGCTACCTAATTGATAGTTGATATGATTGAGCAAAAAATGGATTTTATGTCTTGTTATTCTTACATAAATCTAACATACCAACTTCCTATGAAAATCGCCCCTTTGAATGGGGTTATTACACCTTCATATAGAACTTTTTCTATTTTTAAACCAACTCCTAAGCTGTTTTTTGACTTATTCAATAATTTTTATCTTCGCTGGAAAGATGAAAAATGTCTTCAGAATTTGAAACTTCAATTTAAAGTATTCATTAGTGCTTTAATTTGCCGTAGTGAAACTTTAAGTCCCCACAAAAAAGTGAGAGAGATAGGTTCTCTATTCAGACGTAACCTAATTAATATCTAGACTCATTTATTTAACTATTATGAAGTCTCAAAAGGGACTACAATACCTTGTGTTTTAATGGAAGTGGATTCTATTATGTGGAAAAATGATCATGTTATTTGATCACAATCACTTATTGATGATGAGATAAGAGAGAAAAAAATGTATAATTTTTAAATAAGTAATCGTGATCAAATAACATAATCACATAACCATTTTTCCACGTAAGAAAATACACTCCCTATTTTAATAGTTTAGCCTCTTTGTCGAGTAACGTGGTTTCTAGTATTCTCTGAGCAGCACGAGTTTTCTTCTCTGCATATATTACAAAGAAAAATCTTGCAGTTAAGATTATAGTATTTGATGGCATTTGAGGCTATCATTATCTATCTAGCAACCTACGAATAATTGATTATGGCGTACAGCTGGGGGCACAATTATTATCTTTGTTAACCTATACCTAAATTGATAGGTTTGCCCCTAAATGAAAGGAAAGCAAAACAAAATTATTAAATAAAGAATGGAGGACTATCTTTCCAAATAAAAAAATGGAGGACTAGAACTCCTTAAAAATCCTCATTATAATCGTTTTCTCTACACAAGGTTCGAAGACTACTGATCTGTGAGACAAACAATGTGAGGGACACAGAGAGACATGTGCTCCTTGTACATACGATTTTGTGAACCACACAAACTTAAAATGTTAAACGAAGGCAACATAACTCGTTTTATATTATATTAAATTTAAAGCACGGACAATACACAAGTTTACATATTTTTAAATTTCCTCAAGATATCCTTCTGTTCACAAGATATCCTTCTGTCCACAGTCAAAGACTAATTTTTTTAAGGCGTAGAGACCACCAAAATGAATTTCCTCAAACATATTTATATTAACAAACTTTATAATATTTAATTACTTATTAATAAAACAGGAATATAAGTAGTGCAGCCACTATAACCCTACCATGCATTCTCTGACAAAAAAACACAAAAGCTATCATCCGAGTCTGGGTCATAGTATTTACGCCTGGGCCCAGCTAGCCAGCTAATTGAGGTAGTCCCACCATAAACATTCTTATTTTTCATTGGGTAAAATGTTTAATTAAAACTATGGTTATAATTGTTGTGAAAGATTTTTTGTCCTGGTGATAGAATCATTCTTGGATCAAACTGATGTTTTCTTTCTAGGAAACTCCTCCATTTATTGCCGAAATGATTTGCCCAATCTTCCTGTGTGCTGTGGTTGGGAAGATATTGCTTAACCTTAATGCCAGCATCACTACAAAACTCCAAAATTTCTCTGTTTTGAGCATCATATGCCTTCCAATTTTCAAAACCACTGGAGTGCAAAAATCCAACTGCGTAGAAGACATCCTCATCTGGTATAGATGCTGACATCTTATCGTCCCACCTGGAATTAAATTTCATATAATTATTGATTATATATTCTTTTCTGAATTTTAATTATTGAAGAAAAATAAAAAAGTTGTATTGGAATGGTTAAAAAAAAAAAAAAAAAAACATACTGTATACATATAATTAATGACAGAGAGTGTGACCCGTTCAGGGCTTACTTGCTTCTATTCATGGGGTAAACCAAGACAGGTCCACTGGTGATGTTCCTTTTAAGAATAATATCCTTGAATACGCCTAAATCAAAATCAAAGATTTGAGATTTTGGTATAAACAAATTAAGCCATGGGTGAGGAACATCCCACAGTCCTTGTGAGTCAAGCTTCAACTCTTCACTTCGGACTCTATTCAAGAATTCAACATATGAGACATTTTTCTCATAATAAAATCCAGGGATATAGTCTAGTCCTTGGAGCAAAACTTGAATATCCTATACACACAAAGAAAAATAAAAAAAACATTATTGCCATTATTAGTTACAATTTGTAAATACTATCTTTTATCTTTTGCTATAGCTAGCAAAGATTCAAAATCTAGCTAGGGTTATTAAAGTGTAATCCAAAAAAAAAAAAAAAAACCCCACATCATCTAGCTAATTGCTCTTGTCTAGAGATGGGATAGTTGAGGTTTTTTACTTAAAAAAAAGTATATATTATCTTAGAATAGATATGACTAGAGGGTACCTTGTCGACCTTTTTTTCGGATTGGTCATCATAATATTTAGCAACTTCAAGGCAGTAGAGGATGCTATGTTTAGTTATTAAAGAAGCTATTCTGGGATGGTCAGATAGAGCGAAGAAAGAGGATCTCCAATTATTTATGGGGCCTTGGTGCTTTAGCAGCATCCCCTCCAAAAAATCCAATGCTGTTTTTTGTTTCCTTCCATTGATTGAGATTAATCGTTCCTGGTCTTTGGTAAAAGCAGAAAAGTCACTATAAAGCAGTCTGACCCACTTAACCTGCATGCCAACAAAATGTATCATTACTAATGTCTTATACTAGTTAACTTACTAATGAAATGGAATATAATGCATGCGTTCTCCATATGCAACGAGTCCCATCAAAATTGGAAGGATAAAGATAACATGGCACTATAATACTTCGTGCTGAATCCCTTGTATGTCTAAACTTCAAATCTTCTCATGCTACACGTGTTAGAAGTCTCACAAGTATGTAAGAATATATATATTTGCATAATGCATGTAAATAGAGTTGATTCTTGAGTTAGATAGAACAGAAAGATTCTGAGTCATTGACGAGAAAGTATATGATCATTAATAATATGTATGAGCCCTTCTATTGGCTGCGTTTTTTTCAAACTAGTATTATGCTTTCAATTTCGAAATTCCACATTCAGTGGTTCAAACTCTTACGTACGTATAACTCATCATATTCTTATTTGTGAATTTGTCTTTAATGGATGACTAGTGCACCGACACACTGTGAAATATATGATACGTGGGTGCTATAACTGTAAATAAAATTGATAACACAGTGGATTTTTGACAAGGACATTTAGCTTCTCTCATAAAACGTGATGGTTGAATAATGACTACTCGATTTGGCGTCACTATGAATTGTTGGAGAGAAAAGGAGACGAGACAAACTCCTAGTCAATTCTCTGTTAACATACCCTTTTGGGTGCTGGCTCAAGCGCAATTCTTGCCCTTGCTATAATCCCAAATTGTCCTAAACCTCCAAGAACGGCGTGAAATAACTCCAAATTCTTCCGTGAAGAGCAGGTAACGAAATCTCCTTTTCCTGAACCGAACCAATTATATTAGATGAAAAAAAAAACTATTTATTAATTAAATAACTTAGATTACTGCATGCATCAATAACAGTAATTAAAATTTTCCATCTTCCTAGCTATTTCAGTTTTTTTTACATAGAAGAATTGACCAAATATGTAAGACTTGGACCAACTTACAAGTCAACCAAGAATAATTGGTTCCAAAGTGTGGAAACATTTGCATTATTCATCCATAGGTATATAAAATAAAACATGTAACAAGAACTTTAGAAGGAGAAGATAACTTCATCTTCTATACTCATATTAACAACAACTAATTAAGTTAAGGGAAAAAGAAGTATGTTTTGAATGACACAAGCTTATGTCATTTTAAGTGTTTTACACAAAATACGATTGTGTAAAACTGAAATTTTTTTTTTTTCTCTCCCCAGTTACATTGCTGACGTGTAAAGTGAAAAAAAAAGTAACTTTTCAGAATTACACAGAGTACGACTGGTCGTACTCTGTGTAAATCACTAAAAGGACACAACTTGTGTCCTTTTTAATAACACACACTAAACCCTTAACTTAATTAAATTAATTAAACATATAAAAGATAACTCAGTAACAATCCATCTGATGATTTCAATATTAATAATTTAAGATATTAAATTTATATTTTGGTCCTTAATTTAGTAATTTTAAAATTCCATTTTTTGCATTCAAAACATCATGAACTCAGGATTTATCACCCATCCACTCCCATATAAATAGAGAAAATATATAGTTACCTCCTGTGATTTGGCTTGGCCTGTGGCAGAAACATTAATCTCATTTTAAAATCATGAAAATATTAAGCACAACATTCTTGACACACTGTGTCATGTCATGAAAGAGAAAACAAAAACTCCTTTTTGTACATAAGTACCGGTGGATTGCTGTTTAAGAAAATTTTGTATCCTTCTCTTTCAACATGAACACGTTCTAGCTCAAAGAAAAACGAGATAAAAAAAAAAAAAAAAAAACTTATGTGAAACAGAGAGAGAGAGAGAAAACATCATACCAGTGACCACATCCATTTCATGAACGTTGCTGATTTGAGGTCCATAGCGAAATGCCTGACCACTAACCCCAGCGTTGGAAAGCGTCCCTCCCACCGTCAAGTACAGATAATCAGTCCAAGAAACCGGTGCAAGTCCATGTTCAAGCGTGGCATATAGCACATCAATCCAGAGTTGCTCACCTCCAACATCAGCATAATAATTACCATTCAGAGGGTCCTCAGAGACATTAATTGCAATCCCATGTCTTTGTTTTCTGAAGCTTGCCATGTCAACCACAACCCCATCACGTGCCATGGCCTGTCCTCGAGTGGAGTGACCTTGTCCCCTCGCAGCTATATTGAAAGGGACAGAGCTATTGTATGAGCATTTTATCAAGCTCGCTATATCGTGTATAGAAGATGGATGAAACACTGCTGCAGGGAATTCCCGCACCATATTTCCATAGTCACTGGAAGCCAATTGAATAGTTTCAGGATCGTTATAGAGCTTGTGGGATATATCACCAACAGTGATGACAAGCTCTGGTGGCAGCAGAGTTTTTTTCCATTGCTCGGTTTCACACACAGTGGATATCAAACGGGTTATGGTTATTAGTACTAGTATGAAGTGAGTAGAAAACGGGTGATTTTCAGCCATTTTGAAGAGAGATAAAGAGAGTTGGAAATAGCTAGTTATATATGTTGAAGTTGAAGAGAGTAAGAGGAAAACTTTAGTGTTATGGCTTGGTGGTGGGTGAAGGGTGTTGGAGGGAGCCAGGGGCTATAAATAGAAATGAAGGAGCTTGCATGAGAAAGAGAGAGGGTTGGAATTGGAAATATTGGGATGCAAAAAGCGGGTGGGTAATCTTGTCTTTTGGGGAAAAGGGATAAACGACATCGTACATTGGGCAAAGATATAGGGTGGCTAAACGCCAAATTCAAAGATACGATGGAACCGAATGATAGATTATATTTCTTTTTTCCCCTTCCAATACGCCATGAAGTTTCATGTGAAGGAACTATTAAAAAGACATTAAGTAATATTTTGTGTACGTGTTTCTTGTGATTGTGTATGCACCATCATGATCACGAAGATTCCCAGCAATTGATCTGAACATTTGAACCCACAGATTTCTACCATTAATGTTGTGGGCCTTTGCATGGACCAAAATGGGATTGAACTCTGGCCGTTGATTGTTATCATCTCAGGGTCAACAATATTGGTCAAGTTTTGTCAAGTAAAATACATAACCCCCCAGTCATTTTTTATTACCACTTCCACTTGGTATTGGTATTTCCTATTTTAAGGATGAAGGAGAGTCAAAATTAGATAATTATCAAAAGGATCTCTAAAGATTTGGTTTTGGGATCAGAGGACTTCTCATTCATCAAACTAGATTGCACTCAACTTTTTTCTTGTTCATGTAAGGGTAAATATCAATGGGAACTGAGGGAGACATGAGACCGGATTTTCTTCAGGCCAAGATTTTGTCTGTGAGCATCTAAGGCAACATGTAATCAATGAAAAGTCAAGCGGGAAATGAAACCATAATTATACCCACCAATGTGTCTGTCTCACTACAGTTTATAAATTACTTGACACGTTTCCAAGATATGATTTTTTTTTTCTTCAGATTTAAATTGTTCAAAGCCAAAGAAAATGAAGATGTTCGATTCCGTGGCATTATTATATTGCTAATAAGGAGAAGGTTCATTATCATTAATAATTAGTTGGCTCCCGGTTCAAGTATACCTAATTGACCAATTGTTCTTTCCAAGTCTCATGGTATATGTGAGTACATAAATATCACAAGCACCTGGTATGCATCCTATATATAAAAATATGGGAAGAAAACAACGGCATGCCATGCACACGCAATAATCGTTGATAGCAATTTAATTTGGCTCTGGCTAGCTTCCGGGGTCTTCTTGTTGGTGATAGAGTTCATATACGCTAGCAAAGGTACAAAATATATATATATATATATATTTATATATAGCGTATACAGAATGTCAGGATATTTTGAACCATATATATATTAAATGAATAAATCAAATTGTTCTTTTGTGGATTACTAGCTAAATTAAACAAATTAGCCAAAGACAAATAAGTGATCTCAGGTCCTAAGCTGTGCATATACGAATTTGACTAATAACAATGGGTGTTCAAAGAACAATCTTTGACCTATAGATCTCGCAGGTAGGGGGAGCTATCAGATAACAAGACCCTCCACCATGCATGGCTCTGTGGAACCATATTCTACTAATGCTTCCAATTGAAGATTGTAATCTTTGACGACAACTGTGCTCCATGCATGACTAATAACAAATGCCAAAAAAGAAAAAAAGAAAACTTTACGCGGCTAAAATCGGATAGAGCCAATGGAAATTGAAAGATGTTACAAGAAAGGGAAACGGGTTGATCTTCGTATAATAAATTCTCTTGTTCAAAATTTAATATCTGGATAAGTAGTGCCATCATCATTTGTATCTTGGAAATGTTTGGTGGATTCAAATTCAACTTATGTACCGAAGAAAAATGCAATATGTCTTTGACACACTTTTTCAAGAATTATATATGATGAGAATACAATCAACTTAAACTATCCTGCTATTATTTCTGATGAATCTTTGTAAATGGCCTATAGTAAATCAAAAGTCACATTCGCTGTTAGAGAATAATATAAATTATTAAAAAGACCATTATCTAACATCTTAAGATTTTAGATTGAAGTGGTTCTTAACATGGTATCAAACAAAGTTTCAGGGACCACGAGATTGCGAGTTCGATTCTCACCATCCTCGGACCAAAAAAATGGGCTTGTGCAGCACAAGGTAGACCAAAAATTGGACTTGTGCCATATCCATGCTCCAAGTCTAAAGGGTTCTTGCGTGAGGGGGTGTGTTTAGAGAATAAAAATAAAAAGCATTAAAAAGGTCATCACTTAACACCTTAAGATTTTGGGTTGAAGTGGTTCTTTAACATGGTATCAAAGCTTCAGTGATCATGAGGTGAGTTCGATCCTCACCGTCCCCAACTTTTAACTGAAATTAAGAAAAGCACAAGACGAAACTTGTGTCATATCCTCATTTATTTTGTTAGAAAATAATATAAAATATTAAAAAGACCGTCACTTAACACACTTAGTTTTGGATGCACATATAAATCTTCGCTAAAATACAAAGAAGAAGTAGTGGGGGGTCCTTTTGTTCAAAGTGGTACTAGAGATCGATTTTACTAATAGTTTACAGGGTTGAGTGTAAACACATTAGTTTCCGCGTGCTGTAGTTAATGCTAATAGAAGGAATGAAAACAAGACAGTTACCAAGCAGTACTGCGGTGGTACGTGGGGACTGTTTCTTAGATATTGGAGATCTTCGTGGAGATCCAAGCCAGTCAGCGCAAAAATTCTTAACTTCTATAAGATAATTTTATCTCTTATAATATATACATAAATATTTATAAAAGTTCATATTTTTTTTTTCACTTCTCTTTACATGGCTCCACGGAGCCCTTATACTTTATGTGTATAGTCTACGTCATAATAAATATTAATCCCAACATTCAAATCACATATTACAAAGAAACAACAATTTCTTACGGTTAACACTTATCCGTGTCGAATTTTGTTAATATATGACGTAAGGTGCAATAGTGATCATTGGTGGATATTTTCTTATATATATATATTTTTAACTTGAATATATATTTTCTTACAATTTATTTACTAATAATTGCTTTATAATGCTTTTGTTATTGTAAAAGCCAAATCACTAAAATTTAAAAAAAAAATAAAAAAATAATCAAATAATAGTACGTAAAATTTAAACTTTTTTTTATGATACAAAATTTACGTTATAAAATTTTAGGTGAAAAAAATACGTTTAAAATTTAATATACAATTACCATATAGGTTAAATAATATCCATGCTATGTGCACGGAATTTGCGGAAGTACTACGTGAGAGAGGACCTAATTGTTTTATATGTGTGTCTGTTTTGTGTCTCCTCTTCATATTAACATAGGGATTCTTAAACACTATATAATCGGTCCTAGGTACAAGTTACCCTCATATAGAATATAGGATAGATATGATTACCCTTTTATTTTGTTTTATTTATACAATGATCACTTGTTTGTCAACAATTTTCTAAAATTCAGATTAGATTGTTTGGTAACCGGTTATGTTTTTAGTTTGATTCATTTTTATTACAAATTAACCAATTTAACAACTAATCAAACTATGACCTACAAAAGTTTGATCAATTAGATCATTGGTTTATCTTTTAAAATAAATCATTATGGCTTTCCAAAAATAAAATAAAAGAAATCATTATGTTTTGCAATATTCATATCTGTTGGGTTATTCAAGGGTGATGAATCACACATTGGTTGATAATGAACTTAGTGAAGTGAATATAATAGAATGGACCCATAAATTCAATGCCTTAAGATTTTGGATTGAGACATGGTGTCGGACCCGCCTGCTATGGTTGGTGTAACTTAGCCCATTAGTGGTGTAGCTTAACCCATTAGTGGTGTCCCTCGCCACGGGCTTCCCCTCTAGATCCGCCTGACTTTCTACGGTTTGTGTAGTTTAGCCCATTAACGGTGTCCCCCGCCACTAATTTCTATAAACTTGATGATGCATTATGACAAATTTTCGGAAATATTTTTGCTTATATATTCAAGGATTTGCTGCTTTTTACATATTAAGAAACAAAATATGATATTTGTGAACAAATAGCTAGTTATTTTTCTTCACTTAAGGTGAAATATTCATATGCATGATTAATTTATGAGTTGACTCAACAGCAAAAATTTATATTCAAGGGTAAGAAATTATTTTGAGAGTAAACTCATATACATTATAACCAGCTGCATAATCGAAGAGCTTATATGTTATTAAGGATCGATGTGCATTTTATATTTTTATTATTCATATATTTAAATATTTGGGAGCTACAATAGATTTATTGTTAGAATTTTTTATAATCATTGTGGGCTTCAATGAATTGTATTTTTTCTTGTTTTGATAAAAACGAGCAAAGACATGATCCATATGGGGTGCAGTATAAAGCTCATTTAATTAAGTGATCTTTTCATTTGAGTTTTGATATTTATAGACTGATTAGTGTGGGTAACAGTGTAGCTGCCGAACCAATAGGGCTCATGATGGAAGGGGACTAGGGTTAATAAATTTGGCTAGTTCTCCTCTATATTCACAGTGTGTTGAAAAATCGTCACACCACAACTAGCTCCATCGACGATTGTATTTAGGGAGTGATGTGAATTGCAAAGAAGACTCTGGTCTTTCCAATCTTTCAGGAACATCAAAGCAAGCAAGAAGCAAGAGCCTTTCAAGAAATCAATAATTATGTCTTCAACAACTAAGCCTAAACCTTTATGTGTTCTAAAATCATATAATCCTATTTTAAAAATTTCTTACATTTGGTATCAGAGCTTAAATTATATGAAGTTATCAGATATGATAGTTTTAGTATTTAATTTATGGAAAAAGTGTTTATCCTTTTAAATGACACAACTTATGTCATTTCACTCTCACAAAGAAGTGAGACCCACATCTTCAATTTTTTTGTCTACTCTCTCCCCCTCAATGATCTATCTCTTTCTCTCACTTAAAATGATACAATTTT